GCAGCAGCAGCAGCAACAGCAGCAGTAGCAGCAGCAGACTGAACTAAAAGCAATGTTGGAGTATATTTCGAACGATCATACACACGAATCAGAAATGCGGTATTGCGTATTTTAGAATTACATACATGCTGTTGCTTACTTAACACATTTTTTATACGGACGTCAAAATTTAAAAATCTGCGTGGACAGAGTAGTTATGCTTTTAAAAAAAACCAACGTCTTCAAATGACCACCAGAATGTATGTCTGCAGAGTTACGAAGTGGGTCCGTGGTTATGAACAGACCAAACCGTCATACACAAATGAAAAAACAAAAACAAAAACCGAAAATGCCAACCCCCCCCCCAACATGATGCGGCTACACGACGACGACGATCAGAGAAGAGCCTAGCCCCGGCCGTGTCGTTGGACTCACGTGAGGGAAAGATGCCGCCGGAGATAATTTGATTAACTCCTTAAGAACGGTGCAGACAGACACACGACTCACACACACAATAACATAATATGTGTCCGATCGGCACTCGAAAATCGATGAAAGCAATGTTGTAGTATATTTCGAACCATCATACAGGAATCTAAAAAACAATAATAAAATAATATTGTGTATATCAGAGTATGCATGCTGTTGCTTGCATTTTGAAGTTTGTGATAGAGAAAAGATAATTGATTAAAAGTATCCATGGATAGAGAAGTTATACTTAAGGGCTGGTGGGGCACCTAGAAATCGTGTCTTGGGGTCAAATTTTGTAAATTGGGTTTATTACATATTATAGTACCTGGACACTTCCTGAACAATATCCAGAAACGTATGTAAGCTTTGCTACACCCTAAAGCTGTGTTTTTTTGTCAGGTTTCTCGGCGAAAGCACATGTTGTCTAGCCTTTTCTTACCTGTATCGGCTGTTTTCTCACAATTCTATTTTTCCACATATTATCCCATTTTTCTGCTCTGCTTCTTATTCAATTTTAATGTAACTTTCACAGGATACCAACAACACCTAGTTCTAAATTTTGGCTTGTTGAATTTTTGATTAATGTAGTAGTTTTTGATTTACGGTCTTAGAAAGCATGAATTTTCCATTTTTTTCACTTTTTTTGCAACATCTCAATTGTAAATATCATTTAAAAAAAACAACAACCCTACATCAAATATTCAACAAGCCAAATTTAAGAGCTACATGTGTACTGTTGGCATGCCAAATTAGAAGTGAATCGGTTAATAAATAAGGAAATAA